GAAACAATTACCACTGGATGATAATAAGCGAAAAACATTTGAATCAGACGATTGTTTGGCACTGAATTTATATTTGAAAGCTGGTCACCGCGTTTTTGGTGTGATTGATGATTATGATGACACAGTTCAAGACAATGTCATTATTTTTTTTTCATATACAAGTCATAAAATTAAATGTTTCTAAAAAACTAGAAAGGTTTTACCTTAAAATATCTATATTGTTGTATTTACCTACACTCGATACCACTGCGGATGGACTGCTGTTCCCTGAGCATAGCATAAGCTCATTACGCCAGTGCTTCGGTATTTTCATGATTTTTGATTTTTTTTTCTAAAATTCCGCTTTGATATATTTGAATTTTTTGTTGAGAAACTATGGTTCCGACTTCCTCAGGTTTAGTTGACCTGAACTGAATTTGACTATTGTTTTATGTCGCTTTTAGTCACTATCTACTCAAACATCACATAGTTAAACATCGTTTGCTTTCAATGTTTTGGTTTAAACATTCCTGATGAAGTTTAATAATGAAAATAAATTTTTTATTATGATTGTATTCAATTCGAATAAATTTGTCTGTTCAAAACAGGTTTTACCTATAAAGAAAAAATCCAATATACTTCAAAAACAAAGACGTGTTGAATAGTAATATATATCTCACAACAAATTAAACCACGCTATATGGATAGTGTCTTTGGCGTTGAGAGAATATGTAGATCAAAATTTTGAATAGGTCTATTTTATTTTGGTAATGATTTGCCTTACTTCCGGAGTTTCCTTTTATTCAATATATAAATGAAAAAGTTCATTTATTTGGCTTATAAATAAAGGCATACCAAATTGTAAGCATAGTATCTATGACGAGATTATTTGCACTACTGAACATGTGCAAATTAAGATAAGGATTTACTAGATTGTTTTGTTACAGAATTGCTTATTATTCTTGGTGTCCTTATTTGAGGGTTTTGATGGGGGACCTTCATTTATGTATTCTTTAATTTTTAGGTCATTATTCTCTTTTCTTTATATTTAACACCCCTTTATTCTCTATTCTTTATTTTTTTGCTATTTTTCTTTATTCTTTTGCCCTTTATTCTTCGCTTTTGTCCATTATAATCTACTTTGTAAACTCCACCAAGACCCTCTTTCATCAGTGATGCATCTATTCAATTATCATTTAGTTAAACCAGATTAAAATTTGTTTTTATAATTAGTATCTTCATTAAAACTTGCTGAATAATGCAATATAATTAATGACAAGACAACATATGTATTATAATTTATTCGAATATGTCAAGTAGTCCAAGTAGAAACGTCAGACGATATACATACAAGGATATTTTACTAGATAGGTAAATATATTTTGATTCTTATGTGATATAGTGGATTTAGGATAATTGTCGATCAAAAAAGACAATTTTTATTGATATTTTGAATTGAAGAATATGAGAATTGTTATATGATTATATAGTTTCCAAATTGTGAACTTTTCTCCTATTATTAGCGACGAATATCCAATGCATATTCATGGTAAGTGCATACTAAAGAATGTTCGCCTCCCGAGACGCTTCTCCACTACATCGGTGGTTTCCTCATAAGGATTTCAATGTTTTTAAATTTCCCTTTCAATAGAGTTGATGTGTTATCATCTGTCTTTTATTCAATGTCGCACACATTTCCAAGTCTGGGATAAATTCAGTCCGAACTTATACGAGGGACTGAAATGGCCCTAAATGAAGACTAGAGGAAATTGGCAAAACATAAAGAATAGAGATTAATGGGGTGCTAAAATATAAAAAAAATGGATAAGAATTGGCAAAAGAAAAAATCTAGAAAAAATCGATAAAAAATATAGAAATGAAGACCCGGTCCTGACCCTCTTATATAACTACAGGACCAGTCTACGGTTGCCATTGGGAATTAGTTTTCAGTCGGTTTTTTTCGTGAGTAGCTTTTTTATACATAAATACTTTTTATAAAATTTTACAAGAACAAAGCAATGGAAACATTTTACAGCCCACTAAAATAACACAGAATTCGAATTATAATTTGACTCCTATTAACTGTTTTTTAAATGTTTTACACATATAAATGTTTAACTTGAAATATTCTATTACTTTCTATACTAAGTGCTTGAATATTAAATCAAACATTTAATTCAATATGTACATTATCAATTCCTACAGTCATACTTGTATGAATAATATTACTGATCACTGTTTTAAATTAATGATTTTGTTCATATTTACAAGTATAGTTACAGAGTTTAAGCTGATTTATCCTTTTTTGTAAGTAAAATCACGTAAAACTGTTACATTAACATGAACATTATGTACAATCATGTTGCTTGCTTATAATCGGAAAAAAGATTACACGTATGTTTGAACTCACACAAATCTAACGACGTAAAATTATTGTAAATATGTTTACAAATGAATTGGTTTACAGCATTAATGAAATGAACAAACCACCTGTTACTTTAACATATGCCTATACAATTATTGATTTCACCTGTAAAACCATGTAAGGCTAATATCATTTTACGGTTCGCATAGCGAAATTAATTACAAAAATATATATATTTTTTATAAATCTATTGTATCATATTATATATATGACAAAGGTTGAAAGGAAGTTCTGTATGATTATAATGTTAGTTTTTTAGCATGCACATACATGTACACCTTGCTTTGTTTTTAGCAATCCGAAGTGTGCGTTGAATATAAGTATGAACTATTAATTTTTCTCGTCGTGTAACAAAACCGTACCTCCAATGTATATCCTTGGAAATGCAATGTGTATAAATGCATTAGTTACAATGGAAAAGAGTCGCTTGAATTTTGACTTAATAACTGTTCTGCTTAAAAACAGTATATGCGTATTAGAGGTCCATTGATGTCAATTGATGTCTGTTGAAGTCCTTGTTCATTCTGAATTTTTCTTGCCTTGTGAGGTTTTGAAAGTAATTGCTTTATTCTTTGTTTGGACCTGTTTTATCCTATTCGTGTCACACCGATTTACAGTTGTGCATTTGTCTGGTTCTTTGTTCTCATTGCTGAGGTCAAATTACAACCTTTAGTGTTTGTGTCCTTTTCAATTTATTTTGTCATATCTACAATAGCTGCAACGCGAGAATTTCCCATTTTTTATAGTTACCGGTTGTTGTCCCTTTCTATCCATGTTCATGGCGGATGCTGCTAGTTGTACAGTTGTGTTTTATTTTATTTGTTTGTTTGGTCTTATCTTATCTTGTCTGGTGAATTGATGAAAGTATTTGTGTCTGCTTATTTGAATTTCATATTGCGTTTTTCATAAAACTGTGCTATAAGGGTATTTCTGCACAGATTTGTCTCAAAAGATCTGGTGTATATTCCTATGAACAATATGATTTGTCTTGTCTTGTCTTTTCTATATTTGTTTATAGTTATTGCTGCCTCCACTTTTCACCGGTTGTGTTTTTGACTTTTACATTATTAAATGTGTATACATGTCCTTGGACCTTAGCTTTTCATTAGTTTCGTCTCCCAGTATTGACTATAGGATGGTGTATCCTTACCTTCGTTTATCATGTTAATGTATGTTTCATTGTGTCTTATTCCTAAGTTAACAGTCTATGGAAAGGTTCCTCTTTTTTAGGTCAAATTAAACCTCTTTGTCTGATCCTTTGTTGTGCGAACTCTGATCATGCCTTATTATGCAATGAATTCTGTGCTGTCTATCTCATAACATTTGTGTAACTTTGCCTTGTTTTGAACCTCTATGTTTCCATATTGTCTTTTATCTGTTGCCCTTAGTTCTATTGCACTCCATAAGTTTTCACGTGAGCTTTTTAGTTGCTTACTTTATATATATTCATTATGTATTCAAATTAATTTTACTATTATTCAATTCAATACTCTGTCGTACAAGCACAGTGGCTGCATATTTTTGAGATCCGGATGATATGTTTTTAGCCATTTGATATAAATTCTTTAAAGCATTTGTTAATAAAGGTTCTTAAAAGAAATCTACATAATTTTATGATACTTATATCTTGGCGAAAATTTGATGTCCAATATAATCTTTCGACTCCTGCACCCAGACGTAAAACTATATTGCTAATACCCTATTGGAAAAGCTGTCTTCCCTTTCAGCAAATGTTGCATTCACAAAGTCATACTTACTATAAAAAAACTGTGTGGAATGAGGAATTTTTGAATTGGTTGTTAATAAAGGCGTCGTCAATAATAGCATTAAGAAAATTCCCGCTATCAATGTAAGCTCTTAAAAATACAATAAATTTCTGGTTTCATTTTGTTACTATGAATAATGGAATTATGGTAAAGAAAGCATACATTGAAAACTTAATGCTGTCTAACGGTTTGTGTAGTAAAATAAAAATGTTATTAGGTATATACACTTTCTCGATAATGTAAAAATAGGTAAGTATTAGATAGTTCTATACCCAATAGGAATAGGATACAAGTAATGTTTTGTCTTTTTTAAAACATACAAGTTTATTGTTCCTTAGTTATTTTACGTATATTTTCTAACGTTCACATATACCTTCTCATTCAATGACGATGATACTATTGATAAAACATGGGTAAGGAATCCATTCCATTGAATCATCGTGTTTCAACTGGGTTTTCAGGGTGCGAGATCAAATTTGTAATTACACTTTATTAAAGCAAAAACCATTCAGATAACTTCACTTGCACTGATAGTGAGGTCGCAACTGAAGTAGCTTAGGGAATGGCCATGATGGTCATTTGATTTTCAGTGGGGGGAGGGACAGCATATATTGTTTTCGGACGTATGATTTATTTTCACCTGTTGTTATAAGAACGGGGTTTTTATTTTCACTTACCTATACAACTATTTCCTGCACATTCCTGCATTTTATATCCTGTATTGTGCAACTTTTCGCAATAGTCATTAACAGGCCAGAATATTCATTTCGAAGATCCGTGTGCCCCTCCAGAATATCAAATATTCATATTTTGAATTTCTGGCATTTTAGATTTGTTAACCTTCTTCTTGATCACAATGTTCAAGTATTTGGTATGGATGACATTAACATCGGCTTTAAGTATGCGTCTAAACCATGACAGTAAAGGGAGGATAAAGATGGGCGAACCAAATCAGAAATGTGATGATGCAAAGGTACATATTATACAAGATTATTTACATTAATGTTTGATGCTATATATACGCTTTATATATCTGATAACACGTTGATAATTTTGAAAATATATCATATCAGTAGGATATGCACAGTCAGTCATTCAGGATGAAGGGCAAAAGTTAAGAATACCATTGGAAAAAGTTTGTTGGGATAGGGCACATATTTGATTGCAACAGGCCACTTACGGACCGATCAAAGAGTTTAACGTTTAGATAGATTGACACTCTCCCTACACGGTGCATCGGATTTAAACATCCTTATTTCTATTGGAAGTGACTGCGTGATTACACATCCCACACTGCTACATGAAAACTCCTTTGCAGCATGTATTTTTCTGCCCAACATATAGGTGACCATATTTAAAACCCAAGTCAACCTTGGGATTGATAGAATTTGAAAAAAATGTCCTGGAAAATATATTTCTTTCAAGTGACGCACCCGATCAAATACGTAGGACAATAAAGAATGAACATCAGGTGTTAGTTCTGAAGAGATAAAAAAAATACAATCAATAAACACTCATCAACGTGATATAAAATCAAAGATAATTAACTATCAAGAGAGAATAGAACAGATGATTTACAAACGGGATATATTTGATATAATGAAGATTAATGTTTGTTACTTTAGCATGAATCCAATAGGATGATCTAAAATGAATGTGTGGTATACATCAATGATACAGTAAGCACGAAAATAAACAATATAATATTGAATAATAGACAAGGTTTGTGTATTATGTCAAGCTCTGAATAGACCAATGTCATTACAATATGTAATATATTTGATATTTGACATAAAGAATATAGATATAAGATGTGGTATGAGTGCCAATGAGACAACTCTCCATCCAAGTCACAATTTGTAAAAGTAAACCATTATAGATCAAAGTACAGCCTTCAACACGGAGCCTTGGCTCACACCGAACAGCAAGCCCAAAAATGATTAGTGTAAAACCATTCAAACAGGAAAACCAACGGTCTAATCTATATAAAAAACGAGAAACGAGAAAAACTTATGAACCACACCAACAAACGACAACCACTAAACATCAGGTTCCTGACTTAGGACAGGTGCAAACAAATGCAGCGGGTTTAAATGTTTTAATAGGCGCCAACCTTCACCCTAACCTGAAACAATAGTGTAACATCGCAACAGAGAAAGACACACTATAAAATATCAATTGAAATGGATTAACGCAATCAAAAGACATATTAACAAAAACAAGTGAACATACACTGAACGAATAAATTTGATCTATGACACAATGTTAATACAAAATCAATAAAACAAGGGGGTTAGCTGTAAAACAATATCAAAAAGACAACCATAACCTTCGACAAAATGCCGCCAAATAAAATAACGTACACAGGTAAATAAAAATAATTTTGTTGCAAGGTATACATGGAGTACGGAAATATTTTATACAAAATAAAAAAAATTGTTGTTCAAAGTACGAGAACAGAAGTGAACATTTATCGTCATACCAAACACTTATCGAAGGTGATATAGATTAAAAATGCTGAGACGAGATATAACACTAAATAAATAATATTAAATAAAAAAAAATGCATTACAAGTTGTATAAACAGGTAAAATTAACACGAAAGTACGATTTGAGAGTACTCGCAGTTACTGAAAACATGTTAAAAGCCAAAAACAATTAATAATAAAAATCATGCATCAGAGACTAAAATCAACTACAACACATTCCAGGAATTAAGTGTTTTAACGTCATGGACAGTCAAAGAAGACATGACTTGTGCAATGCCAAAATAAAATTATCGACAGGCAGTAAGATAGTTAGGAGTTAACCTTTTAATAAATATGTGTAATGTTATATATATATAGATAGAGTAATCTCTATATAGAAAATCATCGTGGATGTGTATTTATACATCCCACAAAAAACGTTCGAAAAGAATACAAATTTAGTTATGTTTTAATTTGCTGATAACAAAATCGATATTTGTGCCAATGTAAACTATATTCAAAGATCTAATTGCAACATTGGCAAGGTAACCTTTACTAAAAAGTTTGTTTAAAGGTTCGATGGGTTTACACGGATCACATAGTGATTTCCGCGCTTTTAGTACATAAAATTTAGGATGTGAAATACCGTTTTTAATAAGTTTTCTACAGGTACAGCCAAATTTACTAATCAAATCTTTGTATCTATGAAAGAATTTAGTAAAAGTTTTAAGTAATTTATGGTAACGAAATCCCAGACTTAGTAATTTACTAGTGATGCAATGATTACGTTCAGTACGAATGTATAATATATATATATATACATGTTTATACAAGTCTAAATTGAAAACAACGTTCAAACCTATGATTGCGTTGGATAAAAACTGCAATTTTTATACGTGTGCATGTATAACAAATTTCGTTGTAGAGGGGTCTAAATACAGCACAAACAACATTTTCCAAAAGACCAAAAAAGTGAAAAAGTATATCTTAACAAAACGCATTTGACTAACAGGTCGAACAACTGATGTTCTTAAACCCTGCAATAAATTGATCACAAGATGTAACAAAGTGGATCTTTATATTAATTTAATTCCAAATAGAAAACAATAAACTTGCGGCAAAGATGGTAAACCACAAAGATGAGGTGCTGAAATTTGTACACCATATCCGGATTTCGACAATTAATGTCTCTTCAGTGATATTAAGGGATCGAAAAGTATTTGGAAGGCCATATAATTTACCACAATTTAGGATAGACTCTTGAATTTTAAAGAGTAGAAATAGGATGAACGGATTATATAAACCGGCGGGAAAATATAATACAATCCCAAACGAAATAAATATAAACAAGTCTAAATTGAAAACAACGTTCAAACCTATGATTGCGTTGGATAAAAACTGTAATTTTTATACGTGTGCATGTAAAACAAATTTCGTTGTAGAGGGGTCTGAATATAGCACAAACAACATTTTCCAAAAGACCAAAAAAGTGAAAAAGTATATTTTAACAAAACGTATTTGACTAACAGGTCGAACAACTGATGTTCTTAAACCCTGCTGACTGCCATTGACGATTGCCAAATAAGTTGATCACAAGATGTAACAAAGTGGATCTTTATATTAATTTAATACTAAATAGAAAACAATAAACTTGCGGCAAAGATGGTAAACCACAAAGATGAGGTGCAAAAATTTGTACACCATATCCGAATTTCGACAATTAATGTCTCTTCAGTGATGTTAGTAATCGAAAAGTATTTGGAAGGCCATATAATATATATATATATATATATATATATATAGATTCTTTTATTAAAGTGCAACCTGATATAACATATTAATACAAATATGAAACATATTTTATAATGTCAGTCAGCCTTCATAGGCTTATGATGCACTGTACTTCTAAAGTTCTAAATATCAAATATCAATTTAATTGTACAATAAACATGTTGTTAATTTTTTCTCATTAATGTTTGTGTTCTAATATTAGAAATGTTAGTGATAAATTTTGACACTATTCTAACACCGGCACTGAGTAAAAATTTGAATTTATCCAGATCAGACATGTTATCAAAATTACAGTTATATCTCTGTTGACAGTCCATAAACATACACTTTCTCTGTAATGAATAAGCAGGGCAATGTAATATAAAGTGTCTTTCTTCTTGTACGGTCCCAGTTCCGCAAACTTTACAAAGTCGTCTATCGGCCGAGATGCCCCGGTACCGCCCTTTATCGATTTCAAGGGGGAAAACACCACATCTCAGTCTTGCGATTGCTGACCTTTCTTGACGTGAAATGTTCGATTTTAGGAACGGCTGAACACTATATGTGGTGTTCAAGTCTCTATACGTGCGGAGTTTTGGCATAGCTTCTACGGCTTTTTCCAATGTGATCTGGTACTTTTGCATGAACATGTCCTTTGCAAAGTTACTGATAAACTTGGTACTATAAGTCCATCCATACTTTTCGAGCTGAATAAAGTCTCAAGTCCACTTTCATTCATAATCGATGTATATATATATATATATATATATATATATATATGAGTTCGAATCCCGGCCAGGGAAGAACAAAAATTTGCTTCCGCAAATTTACAAATCTAACATTGTTGGGCTGTTGTTTAGACGAATTATATATATATATATATATATTTCAGCTGATCTGTAACAATTCCATCTTCATGCCTTATATATCATGTACTGTATTACGACGCTAGATTAAAACTGACGAGGAAAGGTAACACCCGGCCACCGAAAGCTTTATTATTTGTGTAGCCTAGGTGGTCGAGTGGTCTAGCGCGTCGGATACAGTGCAGGGGATTTGGTGTCACAATATCTCAGGAGCATGAGTTCGAATCCCGGCGAGGGAAGAACAAAAAATTTGCGAAAGCAAATTTACAGATCTAACATTGTTGGGCTGATGTATAGACGAGTTGTATATATATATATACATGTATTATCACAAGACAAAATGGATGAAATAAAAAGACCGAAAATTAAAAAAAAACCAAACTATCCAATCGTCATATTCTGAGATCAGCAAAAAAATAGGACCCATGAGTGTCATTAAAAATCTTCAAACTCAAATAACAGGAAATGTACTTGGGAACCGCATTGACATTGTTCTTTGTCTTTTGATATTGTTAATAAGTAATGACAATTCGTTTCCTCTTCCAGGTAAGAGAATGCACCGGAGACTGCTTGATAATGAAAATACATTGACTTTGTTTGTATTTTTCAGTGGAATATTTACAAAGACATCGACTGTAATGATTTCATTTGTTCTGGACTACCAATTAAAGGAGCTAGTGTAGGTAGATTTATGTGCATCAAATGAGATAATGGATAAACACAAATGAGACGAGGATCAAACAACGCCAAAAAAAAAAAAAAACCCAAGAGACATCTTGAGTCAACATACGGTCCTAAACAATAGACGTGTCTTTACCATATGTAAAGCTCTGTGTCTAGACAAAATGTTAAATTTATATGATAGACACTACGAAAGATCTGCCATCAACATCAAACTTCTTACAGGACAAAACATTAAGATGTAGCTAATAACAACCACTTACGAGGTTTCAAACTTTGAACAAGCATATATATATGTGGCAGGGTATGATATTTGTCAAATTATCTAGGTCCTTTGGCAAACAACTGTTGTTTTTAAAATCATTTTATCGATAGTAAAGCTCGTTTTTACTGTTATTTTCTTAGTGTAATTTAAAACAATAGAAGACAATAAATAGATATGAATTATAAAAAATGACATTTCTCTCTTTTCATTTTATCTCGTTTCAAAAAATTCCGACCGCTGACTCTACAAAACTATCATGACTTTCTTTCGTTACTAACATTATATGTGCCCGTCTGGAAAAATTATGACACCAAATAGAACCATTGTGAGACGCATATTTGGTGTTGAGTTAACTTTTTTCCATATCTCTTCATTGACCTGTACCACTTGTATATCTATAATCTATATATTAAATGGTATTAAAGATGTGAAACTATACAAAAAAAAGGCACAAAGTGCATGTCTTTATTGCCATTTGTAAGGTGAAATTTAACAGTCTTTTTGTTGATTTGGTATTTTACAAATGATGATATGGAGAGAACTTATCAAATTCTGCTGTTTCACATGAAGTACATGTTATTTTTTTTATCATTTTGAAAATAAAGCATTCTATGTATTTTAGAAATATACAGTTATTAGTGATTATTCTCAACCTGACTATGGAGTAAGTTAACAATTTTATATTCACTTCATTTTCATAATTCAATAACAAGTTAACATGTTTCTAATGAAGCTAAGCAAAGGTAAACAAAGGCAACAGTAGTATACCGGTGTTTAAAAGTCATAAATCGATTGACAGAAAACAAATCCGGGTTACAAACCAAAACCGAGGGAACACATCAACTATAAGAGGAAAACAAAGGAACAACAGGAACACCGAAGTGCAACAAAAACAAACGCCAATACACATAGAAACGAACTATTTGATAACAACTGCCATATTCCCGACTTGGAACAGGACATTTTAAGAACAAATGGTGGGTTGAACCTGGTTTCATGGCATGCCAAACCTCCCGCTTTATGACAATGTTAAAATTTTCGCTAAAACACTACTGACAGAAATACAGCACAAACACACGCAAGAACATTCATAACAGAGAAACGCACAAACAAATAATATAATTGGCGACACAACATGCAAACCACAGAACAACAACGAACATATTCCATCAACGAAAAACACCACAGGATATCAAAAACAGTGACGTGCTTACGTAACAAACATGCAATCTCGAACTTTATACAATTATTTTCACAATATTCGTCCAAACAATTTTCATGACAATGATGGTATGGAAAGGCAATTTTATAATTATTTGGACTACAAACGATAAGACATAACATATTATCCAAGCGAAACCATAACAGAAACATCAAAATAAATCCATTAATGTTGGATGTACAAAACACCGAGACACGCCGCACAGCAATGCAAATTCACATTCAGTAAAACAGTCATATTCAGGAATATAACAATGATGGTATTGAAAGGCAATTTTATAATTATTTGTACAACAAACGATACGACATTACACATTATTCAACCGAAACCATAACAAAAACATCAAAAATAAATACATGAATGTTGGATGTACAAAATACCGAAAAACGTCGTATAGCAATGTAAATACACTCTCGGTATAACAGTCATATTCGGGAATAGGTCACGTTTGGCACTTAGCAGACAGACGACATAGATGTTAAACCACAATCTAAGACGTGGTAAAAATGTCATTAGTTAGTTTAGACACAGACACATCGTATAGATCAACCAATTTGTGATGGTGTCCATAAAATTTACGGAGTGTCATTTTTAATCTTTCCTCCTCATAACTCTGTTGGAGCAGTTTCTGCGTAAGGAGCACACTCTTGTAAACGAAGAATGAAGCGCGTGTAACATTAATAAAAACTTATATAGACTGTCAAAGTTTAAGTATCTGCTCCATGTTGTAATTTAAGTGAGTGGTTTATTTGAAAAAAGCTTGATCTAATTAATGAGCTTAGGGTTTTTGTCTCGCCTGCGACGAAAATCGAGGAAGGCTAGACATAGGTATTGCTTTTCCGGCGACGACGACGACGATTTAGGCGTAAAAAATGTTTAATGCTTTAGTTAGTTTGATAAGAGATACTTGTGATAGATCAATGATATTTTGTATGAAGTTGCATTACTATCAGTACATATCAGTTTTACGGCTTTTTTTAAGCCCTTCCCCCTAAGTCATGGTCCAGTGACTTTGAATTCATTAGCAATTTTCAATGTTTCAGTTTTCTGCTTAAGTTAGTTTGATGGGAACTACTTACAATAGACACCAATATTTTATATAAAGTTACAAATCTGTCTGTAAATCTCAGTTTGTTGGCCATTTCGAGCCACTGCCCACTAGTTCGTGGTCAAGCGACTTTCTATTAATTTGCAATGTTGCTGTCCATCAGATTGTATTTTTCAGAATTTTATGCAGACAGGCGAGACATATCTCTGTTTACTCTTGGTTGACTATTTTCGTGAGAGTCTATTCTTACTGAATTTGAGTACTTTGTAAGAAAAAGAGGAAAGCTTTCGTCTATTTATCTAAATAATTCTCATAGTTCATGTAAACACTGTTCGACAAGGCACGCGAACCGCTTCCGGAATGAATTAGATTCGACCTATCAGATCATTAATCAGTATTTACATTTCTGCATTTTGAACATTTCAAATAAAGTTTCCTAACGGTTTTCGCACATAAATATGTTTTCGATCTGTGGATGTTTAGTGTATCGAACACACACACATATCACAGCTGTTCATGACATTTTACAAAATATTTTTGTAGCAGAGGAGTTACATTGTGAACACAGAAACAATACTGTCGTGTTTTATATATGAACTATCTTTGTTTGATATTGATATCTATATAAACTAGCATTTTATTCATTATTTATTTTTGTTCTTTGAGAAGATATGGAAAAAGGGTAAATTTCATAGAACTGTCGTTAGTGTAACATCAAGACAAAAATGCTGAATTGATACATTTCAGGATAGGACAAATTACCCAAATAGGGTAAAATGACTGATTTGGAATATAATCTTTTGAATAGGTTATTAATTTACTGTGTTAAACGAATATGAGTCTTGAATTTAGGTGAACATTTTAAAGGTACGATCAAAAATATAAACGGCAATAACTTTTGGGAAGGAACAATGTTTTATTCTAAATAGATTATAAGAAAGATTCCGTGGAAATTTGGAATTACTAGTCGAATGTTAAATCATTAAGTATCTGGGGTGGTGTTCTTAAGCTATCTTAACTAAGAATATATCGCATTTTTCGTCCTAACATTAGGACACCTAATTAGGTGTCTTAAGATCATCATATCTTCATCCTAACTTTAAGGCACGTCTCATACAATAATTTGTAAACAAATATGGCTGCGGCTTTTGTGTACATGAGAAGAAGGCACCAGAATATTCGTAGAAATAGACTGCTTAGAGACTACGACAACCCTTTGGACTACTTAGATGACTTTGATATCATACGTAGGTACAGATTGTCGAGTCAAATGATTCTTGATTTGTGTAGAAGATTTGACAATGATTTACACAGACCAACAATGAGGTCCCGTGCACTGCCTGTTTCTTTGCAGATAATGGCAGCACTTCGATTTTTTGCCACAGGGAGTTTTCAGCTTGTAAATGGTGATGTTCATAACATATCTCGATCGAATGTTTCAAGATGTGTACGTGAAGATGAACATGAAATGAAACACACCATCGGTTATTTAATCGTATATAAAGAAAGTGTGCATGCTTTTAAACTTTGAACTTCGTGTTTCACGATACGATGACACTACAAATTCAATTCTCATTTAAAAAAAAAATGTTTTCCAGTTTAAGTTACAATCCTTTTTGACATTATTTTATAATTACATTTGAAATCATGCATTTTTTTTTTATATAGATTAGACCATTGGTTTTCCCGTTTGAATGGTTTTACACTAGTAATTTTTGGGACCCTTTATAGCTTGCTGTGCGGTGTGAGCCAAGGCTCCATGTTGAAGACCGTACTTTGACCTATAATGGTTTACTTTTATAAATTTTGACTAGGATTGAGAGTTGTCTCATTGGCACTCATACCACATCTTCTTACATCTATTTAATTATATACATGTAATTATAAAATTCGTAAACAATTTTATTAATTGGTTTCGTCATTAATAAATGTTTTATCAAAAAATTACTTTAAAGATTTAAAATTTCGCACTTAGGTTATGTTTGGGACGTCCTAACATAAAATGCGTCTGAGATAGCTTCGAGACACAACTTAAGAGTGTCTTAAGATGATCCTAAGTCCATCCTTAAATTGGTCTTAGGATGTGTCTGAGGACGAATCTTAGGATACTTTCGAGAACACCACCCCTGGAAAAGTTCTAAACCAAAAATTCCAGCATTTGATTTTTAACTTATGCACTTTTAGATATGTTTGCTTGCATTCAATAAGTAAAACATTTTGAAATTAAGAATTTATCCAATTTTATGTGTCAAAACTCATCAATTATACCATGCTTAGAATTTGTTGCGCCAGAGGTAATCGATCAATGTTGGCAGGGCAAATAAAAAACACGAAGTTGAAGAAATTCCCAAAAGTTGTGACAAATACTAGTACACTTACACTAGATGTGTTATATATGATATCCAATATTGCCTATATTTGTTCTTAATTTTGCATACAGCTGGTAGTGGATCTCAAATCGTGTGGTAATAAAAGTAAAATAAGTAGTTAGACTTGAAAATGACAAGGCATATTAAAAACGACACGCAAGTGTATGGGAAAATAAAAAATACTTGTATGAAATGAAATGGTAATAAATCAAAGCATTGTGTAATTAATCTGACTTTGCAATATTACAAAGTTTCACAGTCTTGAGTAAATCCTTTGGTTTCTCTCATCATTAGAACAGTTTTATCTTGCAGGCAATGCATATGTGCATGGATAAGAGAATTGTTTACAACAGAACTATACCATCCAGGTACGTTATTTCATAGTGACGATAAGGTAATAAATCGCCTATTTTTCATTGATTTACATGATTTAGTAATTGAATCTTTGGCAATTACATTGAATGTCATACTCAAACACTATCTATTGGTTCTAATTATTTTAGGTATTCACTTTTATCGTTACTAGGATATGATTTTCTGTTTTATTACAATCGTTACGACAAAGAAACCTTCCTTTTTATAATTTACATCCGTATAAACCCGAAACACCAATATAATCCCAAGAGCTCTCCTCGAGAAATTATATTGGTTGAGTGTTTGATACGATGTTTGATATTGAAAAAAAACGTATCATATACACTTTATAGTAAACCTCATGTAGATGTTTTCACGTGACTTGACATAATACAGATTAGGGGGTTTTATAAAGACTTTGTAACCGTGATTGATATCGATGATGTGACGTCATTCAGAATAGGGGATTGATAAAGGCTTTAAAACCTTGACTGATATTGATATCATCACGGCTGGCTGATACAGCATGATTGGCATTACTTGTATTAACTATATCCTGTTATTTCCAGAAACGTCTGTTCATCAACAAGATGCATTTGATGTTTCATCTTTAGATGATTCCTTATTGCCTTGCTGATTAAATGCATAGACAAAATTTTAACGCAATCTAATTAAAATACAGATCTTTTGTCAACGCTTCCATTTTACATTGTAATCTGATACTAGTTATAACGATAAATACATTTCTAAGCCTAGATCTAAAACTAAGAAAGGTTACATTTTTCTAAGGATAGAAAAATGACAATCGTATCAAAAACTTAGTTCACAACGATAACATAACTCATAAACAATTCGTTTATATACATTTAAAAAAAATCATAATTCCTTCTCCACAAAGTGCATATGCGTAAAAAAATCGATTCTCGTACTTAAATGTCGTGTTTTTCCAATGATGAAAACCATACCGTTTATGAGGTGTCGAGAACACTTCCAAGATTTTTCTTCCTCCTGGGTTTTGCATGGCATGTGTAACCAAAGATGTATTAAAAAAGCATAAACGAATATCGAAAACCATCTGAGGTTTGTGTTACCTAAAAGTTTACTATCTTCGTTTTTGAAATTTTTTTAACATCTATTAATTGCAAAAATTATCAAAATTTAATCAATTCTAATGGTTAATGCTAAGTTAAGGCAACATTAGTTTACCGATGTGCAATCTCGTAAATCGATTAAGAAGAGACAGATGAAGGTAACAAACAAAAACTGAGGGAATCACATGAACTCCAAAAAGAGCGAGACCAGATGCGTCGACAGGTTGCTATACACGCATCACCCGCCATCTGAATCTACACTCAGACAAAATGTCATAATCGTGAATAGGGCACAATCCGTAAATTACAGATTAGACGACTTTACTCGTATCTAAAGATCCAAGATATGTCGCTAGTGACTTGAAACACCGATACATCGTATCAATTACATGTAATTCGAAAACTTCTGTAGTGCCGATTTCAGTCGTTCTTTCTCATAACTCTGTAGTTTTAATGTAAAGATCACACCCGCTAGGTCTGTGAATGGAGTCCGTATACTTTGAACATACACGAGCGTAATGTACCAACTGAGATACATACACGACATATTCTGTGGCATATACTGTGGCAGAGGGTATGTTACTGCTGAGAAATGGGACGTTGACAATTTAAAATTGAAAATTATCACGTTTGTCAAAGATTCTAATTTGAAATCGTCCATCTGTATCAATATTGAGGAAAATATCAAGATATGAAGCAGACCATCCAGCTCCGGTATAATCCTTAATCTCAATTTCACAAGGATATATGGGGTGTAAGCACTCGAAGAAATGAGTATTATTAAATGACAAGACACGAACAATATATTAACTACAAAACAATAACTACTTTTGGTATACTATACACTTGGGAGATAAGAACCCCTCAAGTAAGGGTATCGATTCATTGGTTGTAAAAACGCCTCATAGATACCAGGACTAAAATTTTGACGCGCGTTTCGTCTACAAAAGACTCATCAGTGACGCTAGATTAATAAAACAGTTACAAGGCCAATTAAAGCATGAAGTTGAAGAGCATTGATGACCCAAAATTCCGAAAGGTTTTGCGAAATACTCCTTGGGTAGAAAATCCTTAGTATTTTGAAAAAAATCAAAGTTTTGTAAACAGCTGATTTATAATTGTGACCATATCAATGATAATTCATGCCAACACAGAAGTGCTGATTACTGAGCTGGTGATACCCTCGGGGAGGAAACTTCCACCAGCAGTGACATCGACCCATTGGTTGTAAATAAACTCTTCGTAGATACCAGGAATAAAATTGTGTACGCCAGACGGTCGTTTCGTCTACAAAAGACTAAAAATCAAATAAAAAACATAGTGTCTTTTTTCTTATCTTTATTACATTATTTTTGATTTTGAAATTAATTTTAAACGCTAATAATGATTTTTTATTGTTTTAAATTTTTTCTTGCTTATTTTAAAAATTTTAATATTTTTAGGCCAATCAAAATCTTGAATATTTAGAAGAGCAAATATATCAAACACTGGAGTAGTCTTACATAGAGAAATCCTTTGACATTCGTTTCTTTCTTTTCTGCACTTTACTGTTTAATAACATTAACTATACCAATTTTACTGTTGTTTTATTGTTGATCGAGGCCACAAATTTGAAAATCCATAATTTATGACACATTTAGAAAACCTGATAATGATATAACCGAAAACGACTAAAGGTTAACAGCGAAAATGTATCAGAGTTATGCACGATGGATGTTCATTCCTTTATTTCAAAGATATCTACGTTATATCTTTGTAAATTTCACGAAAAACCAATAACCGTATTTACATGCCAGTACTAATTGTATAGGTTTAGTTGGTTAGTACTTCGCTTAGTGTAAATAGAAAGACGTGCGACAGATTCGTAATACTAATGTTCATTCGTATTTTGTGTCTTTTGTCATTTCAGTGGCAATCACCGTCCTCTATGGGCAAAGTATGGGGAATATGCATATTGTCCGCCGGAAAGATGGCTACATAATGCTGAGGTGAGTGTAAATCTACATAATCATACAATAGTTGGATAAATAATCGAAATGTATCCCTTTTTTACATTCATTTGAAATAATAAACAACCGAAATGTGCATTTGTCATCATTTCGAAAATTTTACGGACGTCGATCATTACGATTCGGTTGACCGTTATGGAATATCTGTTTCACAGATGACGACATATATGTTCCAATTATAGCAACCACAATCCAGTTCTCTTTTCCTCAATTGTGACATCAACGTACTGGATTACTCATCGAATATGCAACACGATGGGTGCAATATGTGCAGCAATATCAGCTTACCCTTTCGGAGCACCTCAGATCATGTTGGTGAATATTTATTCATCAAATTGATAAAGATCCCCTAATATTCCTATCACAGGAATAGATTACCTTAGCTGTGTTTGGCAAAACCTTTTAGAAATCTGTTTTCCCAACGCGTTTTAACTTTGTAATTTATTGGGCCTTTTTATTAACTTTTTGCTCTAGGGGCACAGATGAGTATTTTGTAGACGAAACTCGCATCTAACGTACAAAATTTTAATCCTGGTATCTATGTTGAGTTTTTTTTGTTAATAAAGGCAATTTGAGAAACATTTTGTGAATTGTATCTGTATTTTTGAAAGATAAATCTGCAGCCAATAGGAATTAATTCGTTTAACACATAACATAGTTTTTCTTTTAATAGAATTTTGGTTTTTGTTTCGTATCATTTTGCAATTAATTTTGGATATTGTCCATAATCAAACTAATATGTGATCATATATGTATTATTTAAAGGTGTCGTTTCTTGAAATTAAGCACATACATGAGCGTTAAAGGGAATTCTAGAACAGAGTTAAATATTTATAGAAAATGATCCCCTGAGGTAAAAGATAAAGGGTTATTCCTTTTTATTCACTTACTTAAAGACATATTTTAATGATCCTTCAAATTTAACAAAAATGAGCTGCTAGTGTCTTCTCGTACTCACATTTGCCGATAGCTTTGACGTATGCAGTAATCTCTCGTAAAACAATCGATAAGAAGTCTGAAGGGGAAACCGTGATGGGAAAGAAGTAAACAGATAACTGAAGATAGTATTAACCTGATTTTATTACCTACCATCTTTATGATTATATCCCAATATAGTTTTAATCAATTCCATCCTTCTTATATCCAACAGTTGTAAAGACATCTTTCGTTTTGCTTGTGCATATTGAATTATTACTTTATTCGTTTGTGTATAGTGGTGAGTTAAGGTCGAGATTGAGTATATCGGATGAATTGTCTCTCACTAAATTACAGCCCTTCGACATGTAAATCTAAAAGCAATGTACTTGTAATCGATACTTATTTCATCACTGCATAAAGTCATATTTTACTCAGACTCATTGTGACGTTTGTACTTGATACTTATTTCGTCATTGCACAAGGTCATTCTTTCCCCAGACTGCTTATGACGTCTTTTTAATTAATCCGTTCGATGTATACAGATTGATATTTAAGTATGAAAAAACGTTGTTAACTTATCATTCAAAAATATACTTTAGACTAGATTTCAGTAACTCAGAACTCGTAGATTGGTGTGATGTGTTTTTGTCATTTTGTTAGAATTTGTTAAAATTTCGATCTGAAAGAGTCAAGTCCGTCCTAACTGAAGATAGTATTAACCTGATTTTATTACCTACCATCTTTATGATTATATCCCAATATAGTTTTAATCAATTCCATCCTTCTTATATCCAACAGTTGTAAAGACATCTTTCGTTTTGCTTGTGCATATTGAATTATTACTTTATTCGTTTGTGTATAGTGGTGAGTTAAGGTCGAGATTGAGTATATCGGATGAATTGTCTCTCACTAAATTACAGCCCTTCGACATGTAAATCTAAAAGCAATGTACTTGTAATCGATACTTATTTCATCACTGCATAAAGTCATATTTTACTCAGACTCATTGTGACGTTTGTACTTGATACTTATTTCGTCATTGCACAAGGTCATTCTTTCCCCAGACTGCTTATGACGTCTTTTTAATTAATCCGTTCGATGTATACAGATTGATATTTAAGTATGAGAAAACATTGTTAACTTATCATTCAAAAATATACTTTAGACTAGATTTCAGTAACTCAGAACTCGTAGATTGGTGTGATGTGTTTTTGTCATTTTGTTAGAATTTGTTAAAATTTCGATCTGAAAGAGTCAAGTCCGTCCTAACTGAAGATAGTATTAACCTGATTTTATTACCTACCATCTTTATGATTATATTCCAATATAGTTTTAATCAATTCCATCCTTCCTATATCCAACAGTTGTAAAGACATTTTTCGTTTTGCTTGTGCATATTTTAATTATTACTTTATTCCTTTGTGTATAATGGTGAGTTACAGGTCGAGATTGAGTTGTATATCGGATGAATTGTCTCTCACTAATGATTTTTATGGTTTGTCTAAATGTTATGCTGTTACACAACTGAACATGTTTGAGCAGTAACAAACATGTTTAACCAGAAAACACTATCTTCGTATCTGTTCGAAGTCACGAACCTGTAGTCCCGTGGTTGACTTTACATCATTTGTAGCTCACCTGGCCCAAAGGTCCAAGTGAGCTTATTTCATTACTTTGCGTCCGTCGTTGTTTGTCATCGTCCGTTAACTTTTACAAAAATCTTCTCCTCTGATAACTACAGGGCAAAACTTAACCAAACTTGCCCACAATCATCATTAGGGTATCCAATTTAAAAAGTACGGTATTGTGTCCCATGACCTAGCTAGCTAACCAACATTGCAGACATGGCTAAAAATAGAACATAGGGTTAAAAATGCAAGTTTTGTCTGTTATCTTGAAAACCGCTATAAATGGATAAAATCGGACATTGCAGAAATGTTCATAATGATGAGATCTACCTACTGTTCATTACATCAAAACTGTCAGACGTCTTCTAATATGATGTATCGCACTTTAATGACGATTTTTACCAATTTTTGCGTTATTGTTAAATATCTTAAAACTATAATAGATGAAAAAAAAATTAGAATAACAAAAATGATTAGCAAGACAACACCTAAAAATAAGGCAACATTGCAAAAATCGTCAGTCGACTTGTTGGAGTTATTGCTCTGTATTGACGATTTTTACTTCTTTTTTTTTTGGCGTTTTAGCCTATTATCTTGAAAACTTTAAATAGATAGATAGATATATCAATTAGTTAAAGTGATAAGTAAGACAAGATCTATAAATAAATCAAATTTTGCCGAAATTGTTAGTATACTCGACTCATTATATGAGTGATTGCCTTTTAAACGACGATGTTTTACCCTTTTTGTGTTTTTTGAGGAAACAAGATTAACGAAAAAGAAATTTTGTCATGAATTCTATTCTAGTCTACAATCTAGAGTGTCCTTTGTTGAAGGAGCAGCGACACTTGCGTCGGTATTGAAAAATTAAATCATGCCGTTTTTGTTTCATTTGGTTTTTCCAAAACTTGTATAGCTTACAGTACGGTATTGTTTTTGTTCATTGTTGATGGCCATACGCTGAACTGTAGTTTCAGCAACTATCAAGATGAAGAATATCGTTAAAAACTCTGTTCCTTTGATATATTTGTGATTCCCAATAATTTTAAAATATGTGTGTGTCATGTATACAAATCAATATTGATTAACTCTGCTAGTTGTATATCAATGTATATGTAACTGATTTCCTTACGCTTGTAAATGACAATTTTATTAATATGTTATATATGTTTGATCCATTTCAGCACGGAGGTATAATTTACTTGTATAATCCATGCCTGGAGAGTAGGCAAATTAAACTACTGAGAAAAGCAGCACAGAAAGCCAAAGTAAAGAAGTATGTTATGACACCTTATTCCTTACCCAGAGACATGGTAAGTGAAATATTTCATGTATTTTGTATACATATTCCAATCAAATTTGATCAGAAATTAAATTCATAATTTTCAAATGCTATGGCGAATAGTGCTAAAATATACATTGTCACATTTTTGCAAGATTTCTAAATAATCACAATCACTACCAGATAAAAGTCAATTTGATGTATGCGTCCAACACGTCCAAGGTATTGGCATCTGGGGACGCAAAAAGAAAACCAGCATACAAATTTAAAAATCTTCATCAACCAACGGCACCTCTTAACCATACTTTGTTATTTTTCTATTTTCTTAGCCAATTGCTGTTGTTTCATGGCGGTGTGTTCTACAAATGAATGCTGTAGATGTTAAACAGATAGTGAAATTTTCTAAGGTAAAGTGTATCCATAAGAGCATATTTTGTCGTGTTTTATGTTTAACTCTATTAAGCATTGTTTTGAGAATAAAGAATATAAATGAAATTTACAGTCTCATATGGATAACCTTATTTTAAATACATGGGGTATTATTGTCTAACATCGTACGAATATAGTTTTTTATGAGATAAATCAAGGATAATTAACCTATTATTTCATTGATATAAAAAGATGAAAATAACACTTCTTAAATTGCATGCGTTCGAAGGGCTTTTCTGGATTTACCTTCATCAGGAAAGTTCAAGGTCGAACACTTGAAAGCCAAGGATGTATAAGAACAGAAACGGTTGAGGAGCGATATGACCAAAAGGGACCTAAAAGTAGCCAAATCCATTTAAGGTCAGCTTTTCCTGAATGAGTTGAAACCTTAGTTTCTTAATAATTTCTAGATTTATCACATTTAAGAAAGATTTGGTGTAATGCATGTCAGTAACGAAGTACCAAAGTACTGACTACTGAGCTGATGAAACCTTCGGGGACTGATAGTAGGCTTTAGTGCTTTTAAATATTTACAGAAAAAACTTAAATGATGATTTCGCGAGAATGACATATTGTGTGTAACTAGCCGTTTAGTTTCCCCGATTATTTCATTGGTATAAAAGATGAAAACAACATTTTATCAATTATATGCGTCCTAAGGGCTTTTCTAGGTTTACCTTCACCAGGAGAGCTCAAAACCGAACAGTTGAAAGCCAGGGTTGTACAGAAACAGTTGAGGAGCAATATGACCAATAACGACCTAAAATATAGCCAAATCCATATAATATATATCAAATGAGTTGGTAAAAATGAAAACAACACGTTATAAATGTCATGCGTCTGAGGAGCTTTTATGGTTTTACCTTCATCAGAAACGCTCAATGCCGAATATTTGAAAGCATGTATAAGAACCCAAACAGTTGAAGAGTTATATAACCAAAAATGACCTACAAAATAGCCAAATCAATCTAAGGTTAACTTTGCCTGAGGGAGATGAAACCTTAGTTTCTAACAATTTTAAAATCTAGTAACGGACCATTTTAGAAAAGTCTTTTATGAATCATGTCAGTACCGAAGTACTGACTACTGGGGGTGATGATACCCTCGGGGACTGATAGTCCACCAGCAGAGGTGGTTAAAAACCTTAGTTTCTTAATAATTTCTTCAACTGATAAAATTCAATATGTATGTCAGTACCGAAGTACCGAAGTTCTGACTACTGTCGTACCGAGCTGATGATACCCTCATGGACTGATAGTAAATTTAAGCGCTTTTAAATGTTTACAGGAAAAAACAAATGATTATTTCGCGAGAAATATTGTGACAACTGGCCTATTTTAGTTTATTCGTAAGTTATATGGTCTTAATTTGTCCTCTTAAATATGTTATGTTACATATTATTGAAACATAAGATGGACGATGTAAACATTTCGTTATAATTCAACTCATCATAGTTGCCAGAATTAAAATTGTGTACGCCATACGCACGTTTCGTCTACAAAAGACTTATCAGTTCTTGTAAATCGGACATGTTCAATTTTATGGAGAATCTAAATATAACGTGTTTATTTCTTTCATTCTCAAAACATGACGACTAATCGAAATTCTTAAAGTATGCTTTTATACAAAGTGCATATAGAAATAGTGAAGAGAATTATCTTGAAATATTTTTATACGCCCGTTTACGGAACCTATTATGGTACACCGTTATCCGGTGTTGTTTTTTTGTGTAATTGGCTATAATCTTGAAAACTATTTCAGATAGAAAAACCTTCAGAAATGATTAGCTTATAAGCATGATTTACGAATAAGTCAAGATGATTGAAATCTACAGGCAATTCCTGAATGGAGTAATTTCCTTCAATGATGAATTTTACCATTTTTGTGTTTTGGGCGAAAACTAAGGAAGATAAAGAGATTATGTTAGCAGGAAATATGTTTATCAAAATAAAATTTACAAATAAGCAAACGTGACCGAAATTGAGAATTGAGTAATTCACCCATTTTGACATCTTATGGTAATTAACTTAAAACTATACAGAAATAGAGAACATATCATTAAATAACAAAATATTAATAAACATTTTTTTACAAATAAATATACTTGACCGATAATTCATCGAAGCAGTTATTGTCCATAAATGATAATTTTACGGTACCTATGTTTTTTTCATCGAGTTCAACTATCATTCTTGATTGTTGGTGTTTTAACGCCACTTTTAAGCGACACTTTTGGGCTATTTCGTGGCGGCCAGTTTTTATTGGTGGAGGAAGCCGGAGTGCCCGGAGAAAACCACCGACCTTCGATAGGAAAACTGACAATCCTAGTCAATTAAGATTGGAGTCGAGTGCACCCGCACGAGCGGGGTTCGAACTCACAACCTCAGTGTTGACTGGCTAGTGATTACATTAGTAGAACTACTTAGACCATTTGGCCACCGAGGCCCCTATCATTCTGAAAACTATAATAAATACAAAGAAACTTCTAACAGTAAAAATAATCAGCAATATTGAATACACGTATACAATTCGGAAAACAAACTCGAATTAGATAGATCGACTTCCTATAAGTTATTGCCCTCAAAATAATTATACCATTTTAGCGTTGTTTTTTTTTTTTTGGTAATTATCTCACAAATTATATAATATATAGAGAGATAATTTGCAGCAGCAATACAAGCTTTACTCTTTTCTGCTCTTTGGTCGGGTTGTTGTCTCTTTAACACATTCCCAATTTCCATTCTCAATTCTATTTACTAAATGATACAGTAATGGAAATCGTCAATCGACTCCTTTTTGTTGGTTATTTTCCTTAAATAACGAGAACATTTTCATAAGAATGATCACCAATTTGATCTGAATTAAACTAGGTCACAATCTTACTTCGCGTATGAAAGATGGCTTCCACTGCTGCCAATGATTTTTATGTTGCATAATTTTGCATGGTGAGCGATTAAGGCTCATTGGTTCATCTAGTTCACTACCATAACTTCCTCCTAGTTCCGCAGCAGTTTTGACGCTAGTGTTTTTCAACAAGGTTGTATAAGTTGACGGTAATTGTTGTTGTAAAAAAACAATTCACTGAATGTAACTCAAATCAAAGGGAAAAAGTAGTGTTGTTTTATCTGCGTTATAATAAGCAAATTATTCTTTTTACAAGTACGGGGTTACCTTTTCTAGGTTTAACAAATAAGGATATCAAATAAATACGAGAATTTGTTTTTTTCATTTCAGGGGACTGACATAATTTGTTTCTTTATAAAATGACCTATTACCTACGAATATTCACGAACTGTGCATTTAAAATGACGACAAAAGGACTGATTTGTTTATCGTATACTGAACATCATTTGAGCATCTGACATTAACACTGTCATGGTTCAGGAAAGCAAACACAACAGCAGATAACAGAATTGCAGCGTCGCAATGAAAATAAAAAGCAGTAAATAAAAATCCCAAAAGACTAAATCTAATAGAAAAACTAAGGATATAGGGTATCCATCCATGACACAAAATCAGTACATGCACAGCAAAAACACACAAAAAGCTAAAGGAACAGAGCTTTTATTGCTGTTCTTCATCTCAAACTCACAGTAAGGCCTTCAACACGTCTTTTGAGATTGGCCGTCAGTTTCTCTGTCTATTTGTTTGTTAGTTTGTTGATGGCGTTAGAAAAATCAAACCTGAGAAAGGTCATAGTCAATACAGACATTTAAAAAACAAAACAAAACTTTATGAAAGCCTTGAACATAGAATCATCTGGAAAAGGATTAAATGCCAGAGATTGAATTCATCTAAAATTAACAGGTCAAAACCTTGTCAATGCGATGCAAACCAAATTGTTCTAAAATTATATAATTTATCTAAACTTGGTGAATATTTTACCATGATGATGGAATGTTCTATTACTTTTCAGTGTCAAGGTCAAACGTTAAACTGATGCCCAGGATTAAGGTCACCATCTTTCCACGATAATCTACCCCTGCAACTGGGATCAGTTCTAACCGCTTACAATCTCTCAGGAACTTTCATGAGAACTGTTCTAGTACAGTCTCTAGAAAAGATTTCTTGACACCTTCTTACCTAGAACAGTTTTTAACAGTTTAACCCCAAAAATTATTCTGACATTTACGCCCTAGAATAGTTTTAGACAGTTCTACCCAAGAACCGTTTGAAATATTTTACCCTAGAACATATTTTGACAGGTTTACCTTAGAACAATTTAAGACTGTGACATTTCTATCTGAAAACAGATTATGACAGGTCTATATAGCTTGCCTTCATCAGTTTTGGACAGTACTGCCCAATAACAAATTCTGACAGTTCCAACCAAGAAAACATTCTAATGGTTCTACCCTTTACAAATTATGCAAACATATGACAGTTCTACCCTAGAAAGTTTGGACAGTTCTATCCTAAAAGAGATTGTGACAATTTAACTTGTTCTATCCTAAATCAGGTTATGCAGTTATACCATAGAACAGAAATGGACAGTTATACCCTAGATTAATTCCACTCTAGATTGCTTTTGCACTTTTCTACCCAAGCAGAGATTTTGACAGTTCTATGACTGGTTATTTTGACAGTTCTAAAGATATATTAGAACTGGTCCCAACAATATATCTGCATTTAAAGTTAAGTTGGTGATTACACGAGGATAGGAGGACCCTATTGGTTGAGAAACGTATGACTTTGTGCAATGCCAAAATATAAGTAAACAGTATCCTGAGGATGTAGGATCATCAGTACTCATAACTATACTTATATATCAATACATATTTAGTTGTGTTTTAATTTATAAAAAAAAAATCAAAAAATCAGTGTTAGTACCGATAAAAACAATATCTAAGGATTTTACTACAGCGTTAAATTGATAACCTTTAAGAATGAGTTTATTTCAAAAGATTAACGAGTTTATATGGATCGCAGTAACGGATTTTATAATCAACATTACCGTAAAAATTAGAATGTGATATCCCGTTTTTGATTAAAATTCTACATGTAAAACCAAACTACCGTTGCGAAATTTCAACAAATAATAATAGATAGGTTTTAAGAGGTCTTTCTTTTGAACACATATTTTATCTTTTACAGAAAAGGTATAACAAAGGTCCTGAACGTACTAACAATGAGGGCAAGTACACGTTTGGCTACCAGAAAAGCTTGGACACTTTTATTGGAGACTTAAACCAGATTGGAGACTTAAACCAGATTGGAATACAGTTTTGCTGATTTACTTATTAAAACAAAGTTTGATGAGATTCCTTGGTCTTTCTTTATTCTTTCTTCTTTTTTCTCCCTTATTTATGAATTATATAAAGTAGTAGGCCGTGTAAGACCCCTTGTTGGCCCCCAAAAAATATAGCATTTTTACAAATTTGTTGAAATGTAAACTTTTAGCTATTTATTGGAAAGTAAAATACTTTTGTTCCATAAATATTGTACTGTTTTTGACAGTACAATGCACTTGCATCAGGTACTAGCATCATAAACTCATGCAAAATTATGAAATTTTCACAATTTTAGAATTCGTGCTGATATTTTGACGGTTGTCTAAAATGGAGGTGGCCGCATTTGTGTTCAGTCCTAATATTTGAAAATATGTTGTATTTGATGATAATACATAATATATATAAAGGTTGAGACTGAACACGAATGCGGCCAGTTTCATTTTAGACAAAAACTATCTGAAAAGTGACGTTTTATGGTATATTTCATAGATTTTTCATATTTAAGCTTGAATTTGAACGTCTTTAATGACTAAATCAGTTAAAATATTTTACATAAACTAATTGAATCGACTGAAGTAGACACATACATTTTGTAAGTGTTTAAAAAATGTCAAAAATCTTTCATCAGATGTACTTCGAATTTTAGGCCACTGAAAACTAGCCCTTACCGGACCTTCTCCTTTAAGACACGTTAGGGTAGGCTTTCGTATGTTTTATTTTACTAATTCAGTTGTTAAATCAAGTTGTTTTGGGTTCCTAACATCTATAATTAAGATGATGGACAATGTAAAAGGCCGTACGATGACAGATAAATGCTTATAGCCACGTCATTTGCAATCATACCACATCTCCTTATTTTTATATAATGGCTGGTAATGGAAGCATAATACTAATGTAAGCTCTGAAACACTTTCATGAAAATGACAAAATCATGTTTTAATTCAGTTTAAATATTAGGTTTACATAGTGCATACTGTATTGGATTTCTGATCTCCACGAAATCCATCATTTCGTTGTACGATCATTTCAACAGTGAACTGTGTATGTATTGATATATTTGCATGCAACAAACAATAAATAACTATAGAAACCTACCTGAAATAGATTGCGTGTATACAATAAAATTGAGAATGGAAATGGGGAATATGTCAAAGAGACAACAACCCGACCAAAGAGCAGTCAATGCAATATTCATTGGTAAAACAAAGGTCCCTAAACATTTGTGTTGGCAGTCACCTGCTTTTCGAACGGTGTTGGTGCAAGATAAAGAGAATGACTTTTTAGCTGGACCAGTGGCTCAGGTTAAATAAGTAATCGATGTCCAGTGAGAACTTATCTGATAGCATAGATTTTTGAATTAAACAGCATTGTCTTAATATGGTTCGAAATTGGTCAAACGAAATATTGAAAGAGAAAGCCAAGAAAGTGATTAGGAGATAATTCAGATTTCAAAGGAACGCTTGAGTAGCAGTATCTTCATGTTGTCTGTTTTACCCTAGGTCTAGAAAATAGTAATTACTTTTGATGACTTTGGTTTTAGTTGTTACTCGTTAATTATTTTCAAAAGCAAAGACACTTATTCAACATTCCTGAGCAACTTGTATCAATTTCAGCTTTTTTAAGGGTTTTTTTTCAATGTTGATTGTTGTTTTATTAAGGATTCTTGCTCTGTTCTGAGTTGATACACTCTGTTCTGTGTTGTAACACTCTGTTCTAAGTTGTAACACTCTGTTCTGAGTTGTAACACTCTGTTCTGAGTTGTAACAAGCCCTTTTTAATATTCGCTCTTAATTCTTATCCTGTATACATATAACTTTTGTTGTAAAGTTTCAGTCTGGTAGTAATTATTGGCCGCACTTACAAAAACAATAATAACTAAATTCTGCTAGAAAAATCATCGGTAGGTGTACTTGCCCGTCTTATACCTTAACGTCTTATTCATGGCTCAGTTACTCGTGTTTTGAGTAAAATTTGGTGGTGTCTCTGCTACAATATGTCATGGATAAACAGTTATTTGGCGTCTGAGCTACAATATACAATGACTACACTATTATTTCGTGTCTAAGCAACAATATGACATGGCTAAACAATTATTTGGTGTCTTAGTTACCATATGCTACGGCTAAACTATATTTGGTATATGCATTATCATTAAGAAGTATTTTCTTGTCTGTCATTTTGTTGTGTTTAATGAACATGTATGTAAATACAACCACATCAGGTCAAAATTGACGCATTAAGGCCGAAACTTTGATTTGGGAGAACTTCTAGACATCGCAAAATTGCTCCGAATTGTTTCCGAAACAATTCAGTCGAGATAAAAGAGTTCATGGTAGCCATCGCAAATTAGTTTATTATTTCACACAGATTTTCGCAAAGATTACTTAGCAAAAACAACAACAAAAAACAGCACACTATGACATTATATTCACCCTGATTAGTGAAAAAATACAAAAACAAATAGGGTTTGGAACATTACATAGTCCTACACATGTAAGAAAACGAACAAGTTAAGTAATGATTATGAACTATTTCATGAAAGCCTGAAATGGGTTTAGACAAAAATAGAAAATTCTATATACCACTAGATTTTTGTTAGTTAATTGTTTTGACTCACATTTAACATCTAAACAAGAAATTACATCTAATGTGAATGATCTAAGTCATGATGGCGACCATAAAACTTTCTAAGTGAAAATACAAACCTTGTCTTAATGTAAAGTTGGTGTGATGAGATGATTAAAGCTGTAAATTTTCTCCTAAACAATATTTATGTACGTTTCGACATGTTGTAGGTATTCATATGGGCACCAATTGTGCCACTCTAATAGCAAAATTGTTCCTGTACTGTTAAAAATCGCAGTTTCTGTACTGTTATGAATCACTGTGTATGGCCAAACTCAGTAAAAACCCGTTTGAACTCCATTTAATTGATAAGTTTAACAACACTTACCGTTATCTTGATGATATGTTTCCGTTAAATAATCAAGAATTCTTTAAATATACTGCCGGAGTTTATCAAAGGGAACTTACTTTAAATAAATCAAATATTAACAACAATAACTGCCTTTTCATAGATATTTCTGTTTTTTTTACATGATAAACTCTACACAAAAATTTACAAAAAAAGGACGATTTTTCCTTCTCTATCGTTAATTTTCCTTTGTTGATCGGTGATTTTCCCTTCGAGACCGTCGTACGGTGTTTATATACCAAACTATGCTACGTTCGCTATGCCCGTGTCTGTAGTGAAGTTTGGATTTTAATGAGCGTAATCTATGTATTACTGGTAAATTATTAAGTCAGGGATTTTGTAACCACAAATAACTTAAGACCTTTACAAAATTCTTCCATAGATACAAAGATTTGTTTGGAAGTTTTGCTGTACCTGTAAAAAACTTATTTCAAACGGAAAATACATTCTAATCTTACGGTGATGTTGTTAATCGAGCCCTGAAAACCCGGGAAAACTTATTATTCATTCAAATAAATTTATTCTTAAAGGTTACCAATTCAACACTGTAATTAGATCTTTGAATATTGTTTTTATTGGTATAAATATTAATTTTGTTATTACTAGATTAAAATCATACTAGAACTATTGTTATACATAAATGCACATTCACGGTTCTACAATCTGTCGATAACTGGTGTTCGCAAAATTGTATGAAACTAAATGCCAAAAAATGTAAATCGATGATTATTGGTTCAAAACAGAGGCTTTATTCAACTGTGAACAGTTTAGATATCAATATTTCAGATGAACAAATAGAGAATGTAGATTGTGAAAAACTTCTTGGTTTATATATCAACAAAAACCTAAATTGGAATGAGCAAATAGATAAAATGTCATGTACAATATCAAATAGAATCAACTTCTATACTACTAAAGAAGAGACCGATTTCATTGAGCCGTAACTCCATACAAAGTTGGAAATATTTGTGATATGACGTATAAATATTAGTGTTTTTTGTACTTCCTAAATTTGTCTTTGAAACAATCTTTTTTCCACAGAAAACGCCAATTTATGAGAAAATATCCAAATTCGGAGACCGTTATCGATCCGTGTCTTATACGCTTACGCGCATGCTCAGTCGACGTACTGCCTGCAGAATTTAACTTTATATATAAATAATATAGACAATGGTGCAGATTAAAAATTACACCATTCCAGGCCCTTTTGTTTTCCACACAATATTACATAATATTACCAATAATTAATAAGTTCCGGGTCGAATCCGATACCGATTCCAATAGTATATGTCACAAAATTACCTGATCCCTGTTACCTAATCTGTACATTCCGCCTCTGTCAGGCGCACAACCAAATGGTGTATACAGGATTTGCTGTAAACACGGATAATAATCACACCTGAACTTCGTCATTATACAGGGAATAACTGTGCACCTTATACATGTTATAATCAGCGTGACTTTACCAAATGACAAAACGAATTCTAAAAATCCAGGCTAAAAATAAGGCGTAGGTTCTTTAATTCAGTCACGGACCAGCAATGTCGCGTATTCACCTCAAAAGCTAACAAAACCTTTAAACAGACTTATTAAGAAGGGATATAGTTACGATACTGTTGTCAGGTCATTAAAGATTGCATATTTTGGCTTTAATATTGATTCACTTACAGGGTCTTTGCATCGGAATTAAACATATTTATTCTAAGACCAGTTGTTGGCATGACACGGGTTATGTTCTTCTCGTATATTTTATGATGGTATAATACTAAACCCCTAACAGGAGGGATTGTGCCTGATATTCATATGATGAAGACATAATCTTTCAATCAGTTTAATTGAGGTCTGGAGCTGGCATGTCAGTAACTGCTAGTAGTCTGTTGTTATTTATGTATTATTGTCATTTTGTTTATTTTCTTTTGTTTCCTATTCTGACATCGGACTCGGACTTCTCTTAAACTGAGTTTTACTGTGCGTACTGTTGTACGTTTGTTTTTTCTACATTGGCTAGAGGTATAGGGGGAGGGTTGAGATCTCAAAAAACATGTTTAACCCCGCC